CCAGCTCATTCAACTTATTATCTTTGTCCCACATTAAGGAAGAATCCGTGAAACCATCAAATAGAGAACAAAGAACTGTGGCCAAACAAAAAAAAATAGTATTTGTTATATCACTGTGGAGATTGATCATATTTGCTAAAAACAAAATGTATTTGCTATGTCCAGCAAAATCGAACTACATCAATCTGGCTGAACAATTAACTCATCTTACCAGTACAATTACAATTCCCACAACTAACCATGTAAACTCGAGATTGTTCGTATTGGTAAAACCCATAAGTGTCAGAGTAATAACAGCATCAAAAAAATCCAGAAGTATCGAATAGAGAGAACAAAACCAAAAATAGTAGCTACAAAACCCATAAGTGTCGAATGAATAGCAGTTGCAAAGACCAAAATTTTAAAATGCACAAGTATCGGACTTTTAAAGCCCATAAGTTGGAGATTTACCTTCGTGTTGTTCGTCCATTGTGCAGATTAAAACATAGGAATGGGAGTTGTTTCTTCACGCTAGGGTATGCTACTGGAGTAGTACTCTACCTAGCCGACGAAGGTTTCTTGATTTGGAGCTCCGATTTGGGATGATTTGGGGAAATTAGGGCTTCCAGTTGGATGGGTGTTCTTTGATTTTACGAATTGGAGAGTTGGGGAGTTAATGATTTGAGTTAGGCATGTTTCATTTTGTGGGGGAAAGAAAAGCATGCTTCCAACGTTGACATGGATGCTTAAGTGGAAATTCATTTAACACTTGTAAGGATTTAATCGGCCAACTAGATTTCCCGTCTGCCACGTACACACGTCAACTAACAGATCTGATCCGGTGAGTAATGGGAAATAACGGGGTGAAGTTCAGTGGCCAACGGGACAAGTTTGAAAGTTCGGTAAGTCAACTGTGACATATCCAAAAGTTTAGCGGCTAATGAAATATTTAATTCATTGAAGGATAAATTTCGACACTCTAGGGAGGGGATTTAGGTGTGATCTAAGAATAACACAACCTAGATTTTGTAGTTTCCAAGAGAAGGTATAAAATCTTTGAAGCATATTCCACTTAAGAACTACAAACGTGATTATATCTAGATTTTGATTCGAAATAGAGATATTAGAATTCAAATATAGGGACACATTCTGTTCAACACTCAAGAGAGGGAATATAATTAATTAGAGTTCTTGCTTATAAACTTAAGGAAATTGATAAAAATAATTTTATAAATTGAGAAACATTGTTGATAGTGCGGTGAAATCATTATCTAGGCTCTATCACCCTAACAACTTTCTCGTATACCTTACGTAATCTAGTCGAAATTTCCATCACTTCTATTTTTAGATTAGCATAAAAACATTGATTCTGAAATTTGATCTTCTGAATAAAATAAAAGCTAAAATAGTTATAGAACTCAGTGAGAATTTAATTTCAATCTTAGTGGGTTCAAGATTCTTACTTTATCTTATATTACAAAACATAACGCTATACACTTGTAGTATATTTACGTTATAGACAATGCGTTACAATCCCCTCCCTTGACTAGGCCAAGCCCTGATCCAAGGTAAATTAGACATTTCCTTGGACCTCAAGATATAAAGAGCCTCAAAAAAATTTAAAGGGTAATTTACAAAAATACCCTTTAAATCATAAAAAATCATATGAAAAGTTTTTTGAAAGTTAAAAATACTGTGTAAAATTAAAAAGTGATACAATATCACTTTTTTTTTTTTTTTAATAAAATTGTCACTTTTTCAAAAAAATTGTGTCACTTTTTTTACAATGTCACTTTTAAAAGTTTAGTATCGATTTTTTATCAAAAAATTACATACAATGTTACTTTTATTAGAAAGTAATGTTTATCATTAAAAAAAGGTGATAGAAATTTCAAAAAGACGATCGTAAAAAAGTGACAAACACTAAAAAAAAATGACAATTACTAAAAAAGTGACACAAATTAAAAACAAAACTTCATAGATTCAAAAAAGTTACAGAAAAAAGTAACAAAAAATCTCAAAAAGTGACAAAAAAAAAGTGACAATGTGCAATAAATAAAAAATTAATTGAAGAAAGAGATGCAGCAGACTAGAGTTATTGTGTTATAACATTATTTATAAAGTTTTAAAGAATCAACATCATGTCAGCAAGAACCACTTAGCAATAAGTTGTCAAAAAGTATCATAATTCTACAATAATTTATAATTCTACATAGAAAGGCACGATGCTGAGGATACTATGAATGTGTTCTTTCCTAAAGAAGACGGAGTCCTCCTGTTAAAGTTGCACACGTACAAATACATTTTTATTGGTGGCAGAACCTCCCACTGAAACATTATATTGAATTTGGAAGTAATTCAATAAAGTGGCAAAAGTTCATAGCGTTAAGAGGTCCCTACGGGTATATATATTCTTGGTCCCTATTTGTTCCATTTTCATTCCTAGATGAAATTAACCTACATGTTTGACTACATACTTGTGAAAAAATACGCGTGAAGTTGATAGCATAAAGTTTTGTTTTATAGAATCTTGTAGTGAAGATAACAATAAAGTCTAAGCAGATTGTTATAAAAAAAAAAAAAAAAAGGATTAACTGGAAGCAAGATAGTGGTACATCTCATTTGTCACACCACAACAAGAAGCATTTGATATATACACGGGCCATATACATGTCATAGAAAATCGACGTTGTACAAGTCAAGTAGAAATGCTACCTTCATCTTAATTCGAAATAAAATAGAGAGAAGATTAGTTGTTTATATTCTCTTAGTAGTTGATAGTGGCAAGAGAATTTTTTTTTTTTTTTTTTTATTAAGGTGTTCGCCTTCGATGACTATTTTTTGGGTCTGTGATCCGGCCCCTCTTCACACAGACCAGCTAAACCGCGGGATGTGCCTCCAACTGACCAGGGTCCGAGCACCTCTCCAACTGGACTGCCAAAGTGCCTAGTGAGCCAACTCATGTTGCGCCTTACCTTCCAAGACACTCCTGCCTTCCAGGATAAATCCTGTCTTCCAGTATGTGCCTTGCCTTCCAAGAGCCCCAAGAATCGAACCCACGACCTCTGACCTGCCAGTTTTGAGAGAACCCGTCCTTTGCCAGTGGAGAAGTGCCCCGAGGGCGTGTCAAGAGAATTATTATTTGTTTAAAAGATGTGAATTATTCAAGGCTGTTGTAGAATTAAATAATGATTTTTCGTGAGTTAAAAGGAATTAACTGAAATTTAATATTAGAATTAATTATAAAGATAAAGTTACGTTGGTTTCACAAGACTCGCAATGTGGTACACAGATGATAATATGGTAATTACAAAGTTTGTTAAAATATAAAAATTCGCAGGATTAGAAGGGGGGAAGAAAAGTGTGTTCATGGTGTAAAGAGTAATGAAATTCAATATTGCTCGTGCTTCATATTTGTGTAAATTATGATCAAGCCATTATTAGGTATTCGATTTAAAAGAAAATAACATAATAAAGTTGACAAATTGCAGTCTTTTTTATGATTTTTATGAATGTTTTATCATGCCCCAACTTTTTGGGTATCAGGATTCTACTTTATTAAGCGTGGCAGTGAAAACCACCATATTTATTTCTTAATATATCCAGAAAAATGGTGCCTAGTTTGAGAATGTTGTTGACCTTTGAAAATGGCCAACATGTGTCGTTGAAGGACAATGTGCATGTGGGCGTGCTTCGTAGTGTGTTAACTATAAAATAGATATTCTTGTGGAAGAAGATGAATAGTGTGCAATGAAAGTATTGTATTCTCCTCTTTGTATTATTCTTCTAGATCTTACGATTGATATAAGTATTGCCTATTTATTGTGATTAGGTCAACGTAGTCACCGTTGGATTGGATCAACTTGGCTTGATCTGCCTACTCTAACTATTACATCAATTCTATTACACATTAATTACATTGATAGATTTTTTATAAGAGGTCAGCCACTCTATAAACTAAGCTGACATTCCTGACACTCATTAACTGCATACGTCACATCAGTCAACTTTGAAGACGTGCTTGTCCGACCCTCTTCCGATTGTAAAGGACTTTGAATAGTAGAGGGTGAATCACTTCGACAAAACTTAATGCAACGACCTCGACACTTTATTTGACAGCTTCAGACATTAGTCCATTCTACACCAATTCTTGGGTGCTTGCCATGTGTATGAGTGTGAGGCCTCCAAGTGAACCTTTCTGCATTAATTAGTAACAAATGTCATTCTTGAAATCAATTGTAAACTTTTAGACGAACCAAATTATTCATTCAAGCTTGTTGGCCTCGTGCATTATACTGAATCTTTGAATACCAACTTCAAATATCAACGTAATCGAGAAAAAGAGTTTAGGGCTCAAATCCCTTATATGTAGATTTTACTATAGCAAATTTAATATTTATGATTTATCTTTAAATAAATACCATGTTATGAGTTTCTAGCTGCATGGATGGCAAGTTGGTCGGGTGGCTTCTTTTCCTGGCTGGAAGCTTGTTTCCAGGGAAGAGAAGGAATTGGGGTGCGATGAGACAAAGGTTAGATTATAGTGACAAAATGAAGAAAGACAAAAATGAGCATTGCTTTGATTAATAATTTGCCAATGTAACAATCGAATCAAATTTTCTTTGCTTAGAATTTAAGAGCCTGTTTGGCTCGACTTGTGCCTTTTACTTCTACATTTTGTAGAAAAGTCTTCCAAGGAAATCATATTGGACTTGCTTCCTTTAAAAGCCCTTCTAATCAGACAAAACACTTTCAAAAGATTATTCAAACAAGTTCGAAAGCAGTTTCTTAGTCACAAAAATAGTCTTTAGCTTTTCAAAAGCCCCACCAAACACGGCCCAAATAATGTCAAGTCGCTTCTTCCTAAACTCGAACAGCAAATTTTTGCAGCAAATGGCAATCACAAAACCATGAAACTTTACATCATGACAGTCAAACCATTTTTTAAGGTGTCTTACTTATCATCATTTTTTAAGGTGTCTTACTTATCATCCTTTGTTAAGGGTTCTTTAAACGCGAGGTAATGCCACACGGGTACGATCGTATACCCAAGACAAAGAGAAACAGAATACGTAAAATTGTTATGAGGTTAAATGGTTATACTGTAAAAAGACTATCAGCTTCTTTTGCCTAATCTTGTTAACATACACATCTGTGCTTGAAAAGGCTTTGAGCGAATCACTGCCTCAAGCTTTCGACAATGTAGGAAGCATACAGATCCCTGCAATAATATGCATGCCAAAAAAAATAAAAAAAAATGCTGAAGAGATTGCTTAAAGTCGTACACAAATATTCATATGAACGGGGGGAGGGGGGGGGGGAGTCGAATTACTGTACAAGTAGAAGAAATTTCAGTTGACTCACATTGAGTACTTGATGGCATCACTTGCTGCTTCAGCAGGTAGAAAGTCTTCTACTGCAACTTCCTTGTTCTCATTCTTCTTGTCTGTTCAGTACAAGTAAAGGATGTGGAACACAAATATACAGGACAGCGAAGTACATTTAGTTGAAGTGTGAAATCATGTAACTTCCGTGCAAAAACGAGCAATAATTATTAATGCACAGAATTTAAAACATGAGTATGAAACTATGAGCACTAATTTATTTTGATGGATACAGTCCTCGAAAAAGCGGCGAATTTCAGCAAGGCGGTGTGGTGGAAGTTCCTTTATGTCCGTATAGTGGCGAAACTCAGGGTCATCAGCACATACGGCAATTATTTTGTCATCCTTTTCACCCTGTAGCACCATTCACTTGAAAAATTATTTTACGAACCAAATGAAAGAATTTCCAAATTGACATGGAAGAACAATCTAATAAACTTTTAGCCTACAACAGATTTCTAAGATACTAGAAACATTGACAGAGTGGTTAGTCTGCTACACATCTCTTTAGTTCTCTTTGAAGAGTAAGGTTATAACTGAAATAATCGATACTTTGCTTCCAAAATTAATTAAAGCAAATGACAAGTAAGATTAATATTATCACAAAATTAGAGTAGGCTATGTTAGCCCTTGTTTGTTATCCTTTAAAAATATAAATTGTTTGCTACAAAATCATTCTCCACCACACATTCACCCAATAAAATATTCTACAAACAAACCAATAAAGTTTCCTTACTTTTTAATCACATATTTTTCAAAAAAAAATTATTCAATAACTCATTATTCCCAAATAAATTCTATCAAATCGGCCCTTATTTAAGCAATGTTTGAGCTCCTTTTTTTATTTTATTTTATTTTAGAATGTGATTAAAAAGTAGAAAAAAATTGAGTTTATGCATAAAATTATTCTAGCGGGAGAATGTGTGGTTAAAAATAAGTTTGGATAAAAACAAGTTCTTAGATAATGGGACACAAACAAGGGCTTAATAGTTAAACGCCAAAATGATTGTAAGTTTCTCAAACCTATCTTTGAAAGTAGTGCGAGAACTTGTGAGAACACTTCACTTAGAGGCATTAAGAACTCCAAGACATAATTTGTCCAACCCAAAAGTTATCTTGTCAATTGAATTGCACGAAGAAAGACATATACCTGATCTATCATGGGCATCAATCCAATTGCACGTGCACGCAGGTAAGTACCAGGTAGTACAGGTTCCTGTTCAAGAAGGTGTCAATGTTGAGGTCTATTAATTAGCTATTGTTAGAATAGGAATTACCCGAGTAACACCCCCCACCCCAAAATAAATAAATAAATAATTAGTAAATATGGAAGAAACCTGCATCAGGACCAGAACATCCATGGGATCGCCGTCTTCACAAATGGTGCGCGGTATGAAACCATAGTTGTGTGGATAGACAACTGATGAGTAGAGAACTCTATCAACCTACAGAAGTGTTTATAAAAAATAAAAAAGCCTCATGTTACTTCGTCGAATTCACGTAAAACGGGTGAACACAAACCAGACATAACATGTGTATTGTATTAAAGAAAGAGCAAGGAAAAGTTCTTAATGATGAAAACCATGCAATCAAGCTACAACTGTGGAAACACTGCAACGCCTTGAAACTCTATTGAAAATGACCGAAGTGCCTAGATTCATAAAACAAACATGAAGAAGGAAATTGGCAAAGATGGAATTGTGTGCATAAATAAGAGCATATAAATTTTTTATCAATAACTATCACAATGAGATGAATACAGTACAGCAGCAGCCAGGAAATTAAGAAGGATACCAATATGTAAATAGATAACTAGAGTAAACTTTCATTCCAAATGAAATGTCAGTAGGGATGAAAATTAAGATCTTTGAAGTCTCCCATGAAGATACAAGTTGCCCTTATATGCATATCGAGTAAAAACATTGAGGCATATTTTGAAATGTAGATGGATCGATTAGCTTTTTACAACTAGTGAACAAAAATGAATTCAGGACCTGCCCAATATGGTAACACTGGGGACTGGGCATTTGAAATAATGATATTTCTTAACGATAAAGCAATTTCATAATTCATGGCACATAGACGATATAATTACCCACTTTGATAAGGCCACTGGCTTTGTCAAGCTCATATTTAACTTTGCCGCCTTTTCCAATTTCAATCACCTGCCATGTGACTTGGAATCAATAGAATAATCATTGGTAAAGTTTTGATATGTTACAAGAAAAATTTGACAAATCATCAGGTAAGATAAATATAGCAAGGTGATGGTACAAGGCAATACAGATTTCCAACAGAGAAAATGTAAGTGATTTCCAATCAAACTTGTGAATGTGGAAGTGAATAATTATAGTACACATAGATGGGATTGTCCTTTGGAGTTGTGCATTATAGACATGACAACCAAAGAAAAACATGTGGTATCCATACCACTGTGGCTCATAAAAACAGTAATGTGTATTTGATCAACCAAGAAGGTTTCACAAAATATAAAGTTTCCAACATGTATACAAGCAGAAGAACCACTCACACAGTTGAAAATTGCTGGTGCTCCTGGCCCTGCACAAATATTAAAGCAGATAGTAAAAGAGATAAAATCATAAACATGAGGTATAGGGAAAAAATCTACATAATGGAAACTTCAAAAACCAAGGTTGCAAGAATCAGTTACACAACAGTCAAAGATGCAAGGTGGTAACCAAAGGTAAACCTGAGCCATATTTGATACTCATACTCATTACATAGGATTCGTAAAACTGTGACCAATATTCAAGATATAGATACTCTACCAATTTCCAGATCATGCCATGGATGAGCAGCAACAGATCTCCGTGACATAGAAGAGAGAATTCTTTCATTGAGCACAACATGAATGTTTCCCGAACTTCTATCACTAACTTGACCACCGTTGTCAGCCATATCTACCCAGCCAAAAAGAGAGAGAAATTTACATAACGACTTGCAGGACCCAAGCTACATTAAAGCCAACCCACCCCCATGTAAAAAATGTTTAATTTAGCACACGGGGAAAGTTTTTGCGAAATTGTACATGTAATGGACCAATCATTAAGGTGAAAAGACTCATATATGATAAGCTTTTGGTAACAAAGTTTTAAGTGACAAATGGCTGGACTTGAGTAATTGAGTACCAACCACTTTCTCAAATTTTATTTAAGATTCACCATTTTTATTAAATAAGCTTGTAGAAATCAAAATTCTTCACGAACTGATAGTGGGAAATCCCTGGATGCAAGATGGACAATGGCTTTCTAACAAATGTTATGATTCCCTACACTGAAATAAAACCTTTTGAAGGGTTTAGAATAGAATCTATCAAAGGTGAATAATCTCTGTAACACTATGAGACAAATGGATAGAGTGAATGTGCATTTAGAACCTCAATAATTAGATGACCTTCTTCTAAACTTACTGTTTTTGTTTGACGGTCTTCAATGTAATATGACTACAGTTTTAAAAAGTTTCCTATGCTTTGTATGTCTATTTTTACCGATGAACTCCAAAGCCGAGGGTAATGTCATAAAAAAATGAACAAGTTTTTAATCCAAATTTTCTAATTACTTCAAACTGAATTTTTTCAAAAAAGAGAGATAATTCCCAGCAAATATTAAGATGAAGAAACTTTATGGAAAAAGGGGCAAAACAATAGACATGACTCCAAATTTCTAAAAAAGACACTCATCAATGGAGAAATACATATTTAAAATCAAGCTTTCACTGAATTAGTTTTCAACCCCTTCTTTCGTCCGAGTCGACTAGCCACATGGGGGTAAGAAATGCAGTTTGATATTCAATCAATCATTCCATACAAACTTTCATGGATGATCAAGACTGGTTTAGAAAACTTGTCAACTCTGGTTTCAGCATGGAAAATGGTATTCAATTTTTTTCTCTGTGTTTTTTAGAGGTAAAACAAATATCATCGATTAACCGAATTAGACATAATTTTCAAGGTTTAAATACAACCGACCTAATAGAATCTAATGTTTTTGGATTCGAAAAAATAATACTCAACGATTCTACTCAGTGTAAGAAAGAAACCCCACAAAATAATAATAATAATAATAATAATAATAATAATAATAATAATAATAATAATAATAATAACAACAACAACACCATACAGGTAATTACTGCATCAAGACTACTGAATCCAAAATCATAATCCATTTGCACGATTACATATTAAAAAAAAAAAATCTGGATTCCCATAATCCCATTCGTGAAGAGCAAAATTAAAATCAGAACAAGCTTCACCACTAGTAAATCAAAACCATTTGATCGATTAACAAAATATTCTGTTTGAAAACAAAAATGGGTATCCATGAAGTTACTTAACTAAACTACCATACGCAGTTACTAAAAAAAATATACAAATGCTCATTAAAGAAAATAGACATAGAAAAAAGAACAAATAATACCTTGATAATGAGATAAGGGAATTTTGACTGCAGTGAGAAGGGGAGAGCCGGAGAGGGAATTGGAAATACGAAGCTCTTCGATTGGCTTTATGAGAGCTGATGACAAGACACTGTGTATGTGTGAGGGAAATTGTGCCAATAAAGTGCTAATGGATCGGTTATAGGGTTGACAATCCGCTAGACGATTGCAACTACACGTACGCTGTCAACCGTTGTCGTACAATTAGAATAACTCGGTAATAAATAGTTGGGGAAATTTGCACCATTGGTACCCAGCCCTAATCTTTAAAATATATCGTGTTAGTTTTCAATATTTCATTATGCCCTTATTTGAACCACATTCTTTCAAATAATTCATTTTTTCAAAACTCATTTTCAATGATACATTTTTTAATAAAATAATATTACACGTAAACTCAAAACTTTTCCTTAATTTTCAATCACACATTCTCCATTAATCACTATTTAAGTCATTGTTTGTCAACCATTCTCCCACATTCTACCACATTATTTTTTCTACAGTACTCATTTTCTACCACACATTCCCCATTAAAATAATATTACACATATATAAAAAAAATTTCCTTCTTTTTTAACCACACATTTCAACATCAATCAATATTCCATACTTCAATTTTTGAAATTAAAGGGCCACAAACAAGGCCTAAAAATGCATTCATTTACTTTAAATGGGGCGGCTCAAACAAGGGCTATAATAACACAATCTGCCTTTAAAAAGATTATTTTGAACTAAGATGTGTTAAAATGGTCATGCTATTATAAAGTATCGAATTTTATGAAGTTATATTTTATTTTGCAACTTTTACCGATACCTATAAAGTCGAAATGAAACATGTTTTCACACAAAAAAAAAAAAAAGAAGAAGAAGAAGAAAAGAAAAGAAAGATTTTTACCGATTCCATCTCAAGAATCTCTTGCTTTTTAGCAATTACGAATATTGGTTCTTTGCATAACTATATATGTCTACCTGAAAGAATAGCTCACTAACTAGTCTAACTAGTTAGAACTAAGGATGGTAAAAATATCCATCAAACCCTATACTCGAGGGACCCGTCTCGAATGAGGAGGATATTACCCGCTTAATCGAGTAATCGGGTCAGGTACAAGACGAAAAATTTTGTCCTGGGGCAAGTACGGGTAACAAGCTGTTGCCAACCCTAATTAGAACATGATATTGCGACTTTCTGAAAATCATGACTTTTGAACCAAACGTAATGCTCATCTACCAAATCAAAAGAAAAAGGGCTCAAATAGCACTACTGAGACAAGCATAGGAGGAGCAAGCAAAGGCATGGGAGTACTACAATCTCAACTAAGAATTGATCGTGAAACTATAATAAAATGCTAGAATCAACTTACAACTTGTTAAAGGTAAAGGACCAATTCGCTGCCAAAGCATTAAAATTTAAGGACCACAATAGCCTGATTGTTTCATAGATACATATTCTGTTTTTTGTTCTCTCGCTTTCCATTTGAGAAAAGCAATTCGTGCAATTTGGTCTGTCGTCAATTTAACATCAACCTTGGTCGTCGGATGTTTTATTTCCTTTTCATGTACGGTTTATAACTTGACGCATTAACAGTTGATATATATATATATATGGAATACACTTATTTTTCCATATATATTCTTACAGAATATTTGTTACCTTTTACAAACAAATATTATTCTATAAAAAGTAATTTTAAAATAATATAACTCTTGTTATTTTGTTATATTTAAGTCTAACGGAAAAATTATTCAACGACTAGCAATTCTTTTTATTATTATTTTTTTTACTTTATTTAATATAAGCATTTTGTTTATAATTAAGAACCTTATCATCAAAAGTGTTGATGCCATCATCATTGCAATTCTACTGTATATGATAGTGAAGAGAGAGTGCTTTGGAGAAGAGTGATGTCATTTAACCTATTGGTATTAAAATATCAATCTATATGACATTAATGTGAAATAAAATGGGTTGTACAATCAAATTAGTCAATTAATTTCTCATTTCATTGATCATATCTCATAGGTACCATCTAAATTGATATTGTGATGCCAACGTAATACCAACAAGACTATATAGCATTACTCTTTAGAGAGTGGAGAAGAAGAAAGATACACGTGGACAATAACGTGACAAAAAAAATATGCACTCGTGCAATGTTCATCTCATATTTTTTAGTAATTATGTTACCATTTTCGTTTATTTAGTTGAAGAAAGTAGATAGAATGGTTAAATTTAAACAAAAATAGATTTTTAGTTCAAAATCAATTTCAGTGACCAAAATAAAAAGTAAAATAACGCTACAAGTTTGGGACCCACCTTGAACATGTCCAGCAAAAAAATCTTAATCCCGCACTTAGTACTAAACATCTTTTATTTCCAAAAATTGTTTTTCCTTTTTATTTTTCTTTTAATTTTTTACATTTTGTTAACAAAAATGTATCACACATAATGTTAACAAAATCAGCTTTCCTCGACCATCACCACCACTATCATTGTAATACTCAATGCTACGCTCTCATCGTTGCCACTTGTAACCATTGGCGGATCCACAATGGGTCCTGGGGGGTCAAGTGACCCACCGCTGAAAATTAAGTTTTTTTTTTTTTTTTTTTTCTCCTTCAGAAATCAGATTTGAAACCTCATTATTTGGGAAATAAATTCTTTTTGACGATTTTTTTTTTTTAAATGGAATTGAGGATATGATCAAGTACTCCAATTTCAATCTAGTTTAGGCGATTTCTTGTTGTGATTTTATTCTTTGTTTGAACTGGAATGTAGTTGATGATATAATATTTAGAATTTGATGTGATTTTTGTGTATATATATATTTTTTACTTGAATTGATTGTATTCATTGATTATGATGGAAAAATAATTTAAACGTAAATATGCATTTTCTTTTGATGATCACAATGTTAATGAAATGATTATTTGAGATAAGAGAATGAAATGATGTTGGAAATAAAAAGGATACTAAACTTGGTGATGTTCGAGATAAACGTAAATCTATATCTTTTGTAAGTTTGATTGTGCCCCACCAACTCAAAATATCTGCGTCCGCCACTACTTGTAACACACTGTTACATCACTGTCGTCATCACCACCACCACCACCACCACCTATGTCTTTATCGTTACCCCACCACCTATAAAATACCGTGTTACACCTTACGCTATTATGATTACAACCATTTTTTAGCCACCATTGTTGATGTCATCTCATCAACAACAATCCCCAAACACAAACTCATAAAAAAATGATTTAACTAAAGGATAAAGATATTTGTACAAAATCTTGTTGACAAAATGGTGTACTCACTCTTACAAAATTAGCAGACCCCACATGAATTTAAAAAATGTCGGCTTGTGGAACCCATCCCATTGTGAGGAGTGAGTAAGGGAGTTTGTAAAAAAAAGTTTATACATGTAGCATGATCCTTAATTAAAAAAATGAATAGAACTGTTTTGAAAAAGTAATATGCATACTTTTAAGTTCTGGCCTTCCAAAGTTATTTTAGGGTGAGGCTACAAAAATTTTTAGTTAACTAATAAATAGGAGCTTTACAAGTGCTATATTCCTTAAAACTTAAAACTCCTGAAGAGAAATGAAATGGAAAGTTTGTAGACTCTTTGGATGTGCAGCATTTACACTTCAATTTGTAGGCAAATTAAAGTTTAGAGCTTTGAAGGTGTCTTCCTTGATTATAGTAAAGGAATATAGATTATGGTTAAGGGAAATCAAAGGCTTTAAGATCATAATAAGTAGAAATGTTGTGTTTAATGAGTATGATCTTCCTTGCCTTAAAATTGACAAGACACCTAAATCTACAAATCAGATTACTGATGAAGAAAGGGGAATTGAAATTGAGGTGGAGCACATTAAGGGTGAAACTGATGAGTTTCATCATCAGACTGGTGCTAAAAATAATTTTAAAAATAATGAAACTTCAAAAGACAGAGCTTCTATTGATGAATATGAAAATGATTTGAAAACAAATCAACCTTTAAATGATTATTAACTTGCTAGAGATAAGCAAAGAAGACAAATATAACCTCCTGCTAGGTTTGATGTAGATGTTTCACTCTTAACTTTTCAAAACCTGATTCAAAATGAACTTGATTCTTTTTAAGAAGTTAGAGTAGTAAAGAGTCTAGGCATTGGCTTGTAGCAATGTATGATGAAATGTAATCACTTAAAAAAGAATAAAACTTGGGTTCTAATTAAAAGACCAGGAGGTAAAAAGGTGGTTGACTATAAATGAATTTATAATATTAAAAGAGGTGAAATGATGAAAATGACATTAGATACAAAGCTAGACTTGTAGCAAAATATTTTACTAAAAAAAAGAGGATTAATTTTTATGAAATATTTTCTCATGCTGTAAAATTTACAACTGTTAGAGTAATCTTAGTCTAAGCCACACAGTTTAATTGGAAGTTGGATTAGTTAGATATTAAAACAACATTTTTAAATGAAAATCTTAATGAAACCATTTACATGAAATAGCCTAAAGGCTTTGAAATCAATAAGAAATCTAACTTAGTATGTCTTCTTAAAAAATCTTTATAATTTAAAACAAATTCTAAGACAATGGTATGAAAGATTTGATACTTTTGGACTGGACTTGATTTTAAGAGAATTATTTTTGATACCCATTTTTATTTTAAAGGAAATGCTGAAAAAGATTCAAATTATCTATTTCTTTATATTGATGACATGATATCAGTTAGTCATGATATAAAAGAAATAGAGTTAATTAAAAAAAATCTAAAATCTGAATTTGAAATTAAGAACTTAGACCCTATTAGAAAACTCTGAGTATTGAAATTAAGAGATATAGAATGGAAGGCTTATTAATTCTATGTTAGAAATCTTTACATGATGAAACTATTAGAAAGAATTGTTATGTCCGATTCAAAGAGCGTTAGTTTGCCTTTAACAAATCATTTCAAACTCTCAAGTGATCAATGTCCTAATCAAAGGAAGAACTAGAGAGAATGGTAAGAGTGTCATACTCTAATGCAGTTGGGTTTGTTATGTATATTATGGTTTATTCAAGACTCGATTTCGCATATCTTGTAAGCGTACTTAATAGATATATGTTTGATCCTAGGGAGGTATAGTGGGAATCTATGAAATGACTACTCAGATATATCAAGAAAACTTCTAATTTAGCAATTCA